CCCTGGGTCGCCGGTGAAATAATTTTCTGTCTTGATACTCGCTCATTTTTAAGATGCTTTTTTTGATGCAGCCCAGTGAGCGAGAAGGGCTGGTCCCACGGTGCTGGTTTTCTGCAGGCTGGGTTTCTCGAGCTCAAACTGCTGCCTCTCCCTGTCCTCCGGCAGCTGACTGACCTTCCCCTCAGACCAGAGGGCCCCATAGTTCACACGGTTACTACATTTTCTTCACATTCTGAAGTACTTAGTAATAATTCTCCCTATGATATAATTTATCTAATGTACAATATATCTACTTACCTTTCATATTTGGTGTTTCTTGGAATCCAAGATCCACGTGCTGTCATAATTTAACCACTGGCCACCATTAGTCATTGAGGTATAACTGGCAAACATCAGTTTTAAAAGGAAGCTTTCAGTTTTTCATTAATTGAAAAATAATTCCGTATTTCCAAAAGTTGGTTTTGTTTCATTTCCATCTTAGTGTCACATCAGAACAAAAATTTCTTCTACAAAGTTTGAATAAGAAAGCACAGTTATGCTCATTTTGAGAGAGGAGACCGGCTGTGGTGCCATTGACAATGGACATTGTGCAGAGCACAGTGCTTTGAAAGTTGCAAAAGCTGAACCAAAATTTGGTTTAGGCAGCTTTACATCAGCGCAGTGTTCAGCTATAAGGAATTGTGGAGACAGGTCTAATGAGTGTATGGACTGATGACATAAGTGGGAGTCTTCAGCCAGAACAGGGGTGTCGTGAGCAGCACAGAGGGGGAACGATTGCTTCCTCCTTTCTTCTAGTGCAAGAATGGGCATCGAATGAAATGAGGTGGGGCGGGCTCAAAATAAAAGCCCTTGTTTTCTCATGCCATGTTATTAAGCTGAGGAACTCTTGGCCACAGAACAATTATGGGAGGCAAATTTCAGAGTTAAGATAATTTGATGGAAGAAAGATCACAAAGACTTATTTGGCACTTTCTAGTGTGACTGCTGTTTGTTGCTTCCTAAATTGTCCCACCATATCTGCAGGAAATGAACATACAAGAGCTGATTCTGTGAAGACACTAGAGACAAAATGCACAAGAAAGAGATCAGAATAAGAAACGAGTTTTGGCATTTGTCTTTTTTTAAGAACAGTGAAGCTTTTGCTATCTGTATACCGTGGAGTTGTATCCAAATTAGCTGTTAAAGTCAGCTAATTTTAGATAAAAAAGATGCTAATTTCAAAGAGGGGACATTAAATAACAAAATAAAGCTGTGGTTCTTCTGTAAGTATTATGAATTCTTCTTTCGTTAGTTCAGTCCAAGCCTATGCTTGCAGTGGATCCTGAGACAGATTTATCAGTGAGGTCGGTCACCATGGCAAAAAACTTCCAGTTTCAGGTTGGGAAGGCTTCTGTTGAACCAAAAGTGATTTTGCTATCTTTGCAAAAAAGAAGGTGTGTTCTTTTGAAAAAAAACCCCACAGTTTTCTCTGAGCCTACCAGATATTCAGATTATAGTCTAGCCGTCTTGTCTTCTTGCCTGTTAACCTCAATAAATAGTAATGTGGAAAGAACAGAGGAAATACAAATCACGGCACTCTCTATAGCTTCAAGTATGAGGTTAGAGGATTATTTTCTCCCGTTTTTGGTACAGAATGAAGACAAGGAAATCAGACAAGCTTACCTTTTTTACTAGCTGTTCCACTTACCTATTGCCATGATTGTCATGACAATGATTTTTGGTCTTTCCTTTTACTATGGAAGCAGTTTGTACAATTTGTAAAGAAAGAGACGTAGGGCTAGAGGGCTTTTTTGTTTGCTTGCTTTCAAAAAAAACTTTTAAGAAGAGCCTGGCTCTACCTTCCCTGTAACCTCCCACTAAGAAATCGAAGATAGCAAAAAGGTTTCTCCCTTCCCTTTTAAGACTGAACAAACTGCACTCTTTTGGTCTCTCCTTGTCTTCCATCTGCTTTCCATTCTCTATTCTCCATGTGCTCCAACTTTTTAATTATCTTGGTGGCCCTTGACTAGAAGTGCTTGAGGATATCAACATAATGTACCGGGGAGCTCACAACTGCTGGTTTCACTCTGTGTCTTGGTAATTTCTCCAAAGTCAAACGTTATGTATAGAAAACAACTAACATGGTTGCTAAAATGAATGCAGTGTCTTTTTTTCTCCTGGCTTGTCATTACTGAAGAACGTAGTTGACGTAACCATTAGAAAAAGGCAAATAAACCCTAATCCCTACAGGATTTTCTGTCCATTGCTGTGCAACATTAGATTTCCACACGAAATTTTGCATATACTGCTGGTCCCCTGTCTGCCTTAAGCAGCTGGGGCAATACAACCAACCATTCCAGGCCAGAGTGATTTTTAAAAACTGCTAATAAGGTGTGACTCCAGACCCAGTCTTACAGCCCTAACCATTACTCCCCGTTGTTAAAATATGATTGTGGAAAAAAAAAAAAAAAAAAGAGTGCTTCCTGTGAATCAGGAAACCATATTGCTGTGGAGATGCTGGTAATGAGGGAGCTTGATTTAGCAGGGTAAGGCAATCAGCAGTTCAAAATTCCTAGCTCACGAAGCATACATAGGTCAGACATGCCTTAGGGGGATAAAATGTTTTCCACGTGGGAAAATATAAATTTAAGAAAGTCATTTTTTATTCTGGGGAAGCTTTGATACCAAGATCATTGAATTAAGAGCAACGCAATAGTATCCCGTAGCTCCTCATCCAGAGGTGCCTGGCCCTGCGGAGACGTGGCCGCCACAAAGGCACAGACGTGTTCTGACTTCCTTGTCTCCTCTGCAGATGTCTCTCCAGTTGTGGCAGGCCTCATTGGTGCTACTGTCCTTGTGGTTTCTGTCTCAGTAACAGTTTTTGTGTGGACATGCTGCCACCAGCAAGCAGAAAAGAAGCACAAAACCCCACCGTATAAGTTCATTCACATGCTAAAAGGCATCAGTATCTACCCGGAGACCTTGAGTAACAAGAAGAAAATTAACCGAATCCGGAGAGACAAGAGTGGCACTCCAAAGGAGCCTGCAAGGGGAAACCTCTTGGTGGATGCTGCTGAATCTGGTTTCATAGGCTCCGATAAGGCTCCAGAAGGGCCAAATGCAGCCCCCCACGTCGACCAGCTCCCAATAAAAGTAGATTATGGAGATGAACTCAGTCCAGATCAAAGCCTCACTCCAGGAGGAAGTAAAACCTCCTCCCCATCTTCTCCAGGCGATGACATCATGTTGGGTGAACTGACTTTCTCAGTGGACTACAACTTTCCTAAAAAAGCACTGGTAGTTACCATCCAGGAGGCTCACGGACTGCCCGTGATGGATGAGCACACTCAGAGCTCTGACCCTTACATCAAGATGACAATTCTTCCAGACAAAAGGCATCGGGTGAAGACTCGTGTACTTCGCAAGACATTAGACCCAGTGTTTGATGAAACCTTCACCTTTTATGGGATCCCATACAGCCAGCTCCAGGATTTGGTGCTTCACTTCCTCGTGTTGAGCTTCGATCGCTTTTCTCGAGATGATGTTATTGGAGAGGTCATGGTGCCCCTTGCAGGGGTGGATCCGAGCACTGGAAAGGTTCAGCTGACCAGGGAGATCCTCAAAAGGAACATACAAGTAAGTCAATTCATGCAGTGTGACACAGGACTCCTTGCACTGTATTTGATCTGTCAGCCTCTGTGGTCCAAGCAGCAGGAA